TGGCCTTTTTTGCCTCTTTGGTTTTGTGTGTACTATGTTCACCATTTGGAACATTTCCCCTACATTGTTTCTGGCAAAATTCTTTAGATATAAACTTTTATGTAACTTATTCTCAAAAGCCTTTCCTGAACCATGGTCTAGATTAGATGTATCTACATACTCAGTATATAACATGGTAATTATTAAAGTTTTTGCCTCTAGATTGTAAGTCTTAGAGTCCAGTAGAGAATCTTGTCTGTTATAGATGTTTGGAAAATACTTGAATAGATGTATTAATGAATACCCTCCAATTCAAAACTCTCTGTGCTTTTATTCTATCTTCCAACCTCTGAGTTGTTTTATTATTATTAGTTTAAAATTTCCATCACTCAGAGCCTTCAGATGACACAACTTTGCCTGCCAAAAGCAAGGAGGACCCGAGATGCTTATTGCAGAAGGCCCAAACTAGAGCATTTGATATGTATCTCAACATCAAGAAAGAAAAATCCTCATCACTGAGCCTAGATGCATCATCATGACAAATGGAGAGAAGACTGAAGTGGTTAATAATGTCATCTTGCTAACATCCACAATATATACCCTTGGCCACAGCAGTGAAGAAATTAAAACATGTACTGTGTTGGAGAAGTGTGGGTTCTGGAACTTCTTAAAGGTATGAGAAGCCGTGATGTCAGTTTGAGGACTGAGGGGTACCAGATCCAAGCCATGGTCTTTCCAATTGTTTCCCATGCATCAGAAAGCTGAATATTGATTGAAGATGACAGTAGAAGGATCTGTGCCTTTGAGTTATCATGTTAGAGAAGAGTGCAGAATATCCCATGGACTGTAAAAAACCCCTAAATATGCCTTGGAGAGGTATAGCCAGGGAGCTTCTTAGACAGAATGATGAAACTTAGTCTCATGTACTTTGGGTATGTGGTCAGAAGAGGCCAAGCCTTGGAAACGGACATCATGGTTTGAAAGGTAGAGGGTCAGCAAAAGAGAAGAAGAACTTTAATGACATCGATTGACATAGTGACTGGAGCAAAGGTCTCTAGTACAGCAGGGATGGTGAAGATGGCACAGGATAGGGCAAGGTTAGTCACTGGGTCACTAGAGGTCATGATAAACTTGACAGTACCTTACAAAAAGAGAGCCTCAATTACGTATGCTTTCTGGAATTCTTGAATGCTAATGTCTGATCATCCAGTTCCACTGAATGAATCTGGCTTTTAACTATCTTCCATTGATAGTTGTCACTGCCTTCATTTGTCATTGCCTCCATCATAGTACCCTCTTCTGTCATCTCTACTCTGGCCTACAGTGATGCCTCTGGAATGTCTCGTCAACACTCTCTTCCTGCCTTTGTCTTATCCATTCTTCATGCTCCAGTTTGAGAAGACATATTAAACTGTAAATCTACTTCACTACTTAAAATCACAATGGAATACTACACAGCACACAGGAGCAATGATTTTGTAAATTGATACCTAACTTGGGAGGGACTGGAGAGCATTATGCTGAATGAAATAATTCAGTCCCACAAGGACAAATATTGTATAAGACCATTATTGCAGAATGAGTATAAGGATCCAGGGAGGTGAAGGAGGGTGGAAGCAGAGGAATAAGGATGTGCAGTGTGTGTGTGTGTGTGTGTGTGTGTGTGTGTGTGTGTGTGTGAAATTAATCATGAGGTTGTACAATTTGATGAGTGGGGAGGTGAGGGAAATTGGGAGAATCTGTCCTGGAAAACAATGTATTAGAATTTTATAAATAAACTAGAATAATAATAACAGTAACAATAACAATAATAAAGGCCATAGTTAAAGGTGTTTGCTATTCTTAATGGATGCTTAAAGGAGAAGCTGACTTATAACTGCTCTGAAGCAAACCTTGCTAGATTATATGGATTTGACTGCTAAACTGAAACCAGAGCCTGGACTATTTGAGGAATTGTGCCTTGGAACTTGGTCTAAAACCTGGACTTGTATTGGGTGATGTTCTTTGCCTCCCCTATTCTCCAACTTACTTCCCTAGTAAACCTCATTCTAGTATCACAAGAAAAAAAAAAGAGAGAAAAAAAATCTTCTGACACCTTCTCTCCACATGTAGGGATATAATCTAAAAATCTGAATGTGACTTCTGATATTGTCAATGATCTCATTCCAGTGTCTCTCTACTCCATTTTTACTATCCTCCTTCTCACTTTAATGCACTGGACATACTGTAAAGATTTCTTTTTTTTTTTTAAACAGTCCCTCGGTAAGGACTATCCACTTAGCTTTGTATCCAAAGACGAAATTTGTAGGTGAAAGGAGTTAGGAGTTAGCCTTCGTTACAGACTGGTTCATTTCAGGGTCAAAAATATGGAACGCTTCACGAATTTACGTGTCATCCTTGCGCAGGGGCCATGCTAATCTTCTCTGTATCGTTCCAATTTTAGTATATGTGCTGCCGAAGCGAGCACATACTGTAAAGATTTCAATTCCTCTACCATAGTATATTCCTCAGTTCTTCAACCATACTGTATTTGTTAATTTGATCCCTATGCTTTCTGGCCCTTCTGCCTGGAATGCTCTTCCTACCCATCTTGGCCTAGTCAATGCCAGCCTACATGTGTTTCACATCCCAGCTTAAACCTTCCCTCCTCAAGAAAGCCTACACTGCTGCCTTCCCCAGACCTCCTGAGGCCATCTGCTGGACACATCCCCATAAGATCCCTAGTATACTTTGTAGTTTTCTTTATTGAACATCATCATGCTTATATTTCCCCCTCATGGTTTGTTTTCTCCTCTACAGTATAAACTGTCTGAGGGCAGGAGATATGTCTATCTTTTTCGTTTCTCTCTGCCTAGAATTTCTTGAGTTGTATTTGGTACATTTTGTTTGAAGAATGGACACATCTTCTAATTGCCATTTCGCTTATGATTTGCTTGTGGTTTTGGAAAGCCCATTTGTGACGTATGTTCTCTAAAAGTCACAGTGCATGCTCGACCTTCTTGCTAGCAAGCCCCTCTCGTTTCTTGGCCTCTGTGGATTTTTTTCCTGGGGAAAGAATTTGATGGTGGTTAGAGTGAGGGGGAAGCTCTGTTAGAAGGAAACACTTTCTACGTCTGGGGTTGAATAGGGGAATCTTTATCAAATCCCCACATTGTGTTGATGTGGGACAGAGGAGTCATGTGCATTTGTCTAGATTACCTCTCCCTGGTCTAGGGGAGGGGAGGCTGTGAGGAAAGGCAGTTGAGGAATATTGCAAACTGGTAAGAAAATTCCAGCGAAAGAAATAGAGCCAAATGTACAACCACTGATTACTCACTGCCTTGCCGTCTCTAGAAGACCATAGAATGTTTCTTAATTGTTTTTTGCTATTTTCCCTTAAAACGAAGATACATAAGTGTACAGTACTGGCAATTTCTCCACCTAATGGCTAGAAATACATGTGCCATCATCTTTCAACAAATGCTCATTAAGGCCTCTGGTATTCAGGCTTAAGGAGCTCTGGTGGCACAATGGTTTGATGCTTGGCTACTGATCAAAAGGTCAGTGATTTGGGTTCACCAGTTGCTCCTTTGGATAGATATGTGGCAAAGATTTTGGCCTTGTAAACCCTGTGGGACAATTAAACTCTGTCCTACAAGGTTGCTGAATCCGAAGTGACTTGAGGACAATGAGTTTATTTTCAGGCTTTGGGACCAAGAAGTCAAGATGAATATAGTCAGCCTTCCTCAGGTAACTTAAACACTGGATGGAAAGAAAAGTCAATGCATTTTGAGAGGTGATATAATGTGGTAGGTGCTGTGACAGACAAAAATATCTGCAGTCTGAATTGCACAGAAGAGTCAGAACTTCTAGTTCTTTTTGGGAGCTTGTGCATTGCTATGTCTCTTCACAGTGTTTGCATGACCTGAAGGCAATTGGTTACTCCAAAAATATTCCCTGTACCAACATGGCTGTGGTTATCTGTGTAATGGAGGTCATAGAGCCTAAATTTTAAGAATAGAAGACATACATACAGGTATTTTCAAATCTAGCTTTGTCTTTATTTTCAAGTTGGGTGACTTAGATACATTATTTCCACTCTTACATTTATAAGCATGTGCTGTTGTTGTTGATTGCCTTCAAGTCCAACATGACTCATAGCGACTCTATGAACAAAAGGCCTAAAGCCCCTCCACAACTATAGACATTTATCAAAGCTCATATAGCTTCCGGAGGCATGTTCTTTAGGAAGTGGATGCCACTCCGATGATATGATGGATGCAACACACTTGGCATTGTGCCTGGTACCCTGAAACCAAACTCACCCTCCTGGAGGTGATTCTAACTCATAATGACCATCTGTTGAATTTCTGAGGTTATAAATCTTTCTAAGAGAAGTTTACCCATCTTCTTCCCTTAGAAGGAATTAAAATTTATTCAAAGGAATTCCCTTAGAAGGATTCAAACTTTTGGTTAGCAGCCTGGAATGTCACTGTATCGTGCCTACATAATAAATGTTTAATTATCATTTTCTGCTAGTGATTTTATACATATGATATGTTTGTTGGTGTGTGGTGGTTATAGAAATAGGATCAAACTGCACACAACAGGATACACACAGGCTTATCTACAGATTTTTAAAAAAGGCAATTTATTGGTAAAAAAAACAATTTAAACATTTTATAAATACAATATAAATATCTCTTTAAAAATATGTATAAGTTAGCAATTTATCTGAGGTAAGCCGACATATTCCACAAAACGATCTGGCTCTGAAATGACGAGGATATCCAAACTGCGTAGCTATTTTGTGCTATTACTGGAAAATGAGTACATAAAATGTTTCAAGTGGCACTTCATAAAAGTATAAATATATTACTTACATAAATTAACTCGGCTTTACATATTTAAATATAAATAAATTAAAAAATAATAAAATAGTGTCCTAGTACTCGTACTTTTTAGTTCTTCATAGAGAACAACATAAGTTATGTGCCCACTGGACAGGTTTCTGACCAAGTGAAGGAAGGAATGCCCATGAACTACAACGAACTTGAATCTCCAGATTTCATGTTGCGAATAGCCCTCAGGCTGAACTGCATGAAGATGTCCAGGTTCTGCAGGATGAGGTTAATCCTTGTGTTCCTCAGCCACTCACTCTGTGGCTGCAACTTGGAGAGCAGGCTGGCATTTGTGGTTGGGTTGGGGGTGGTCACTGGATTCTTCACCTGAAGGGAAAACAAAACAAAACAAAACAAAACAAAACAAAACAAATGGATTATTTAAACATTGAAGAACTTCATAGCAGAGGAAGCATGCTTTCAGTTGTGGGAAGATATGTAAGTAAGGTTGAGGTGGTTGAGACTAATTGAGGTCACTTGCTCATTAAGCCCACTCAAGTGATGGATGGACTGACGCACTTCTTCTACGAGCCAAGGCTGCTTAGGCCTCTTTCAGAGGAACTGAATTATAACCATCCTTATGTGACACTATCTCCCATGCAACTATTTGATACTATTACTTAAAAATAGATCTTTCATTAGTCATCTGAGGACCACCACAGAATCTTACTTGTTTTCTAGTCTGCTATCTGAAATAGTATTAGTCAGCTTGCTGGGCTTTCAGAGATTATTTGTTGGCTGAATGAGTAAGTGGTTCCAAGGACCCATAATTAAAAGCTATGTAGAGGTTTCTTTAGTTGTCTCTAACTCCAGTGGTCCTGGAGCTGGATCCACATCACCTGAGTTTGTGAAACACAAACCCTACATCCCAATCCAGACCTGCAGAATCAGGCTCTGTGCTGTCAAATGATGCCCAGGGGACTCTCATGCACATTAAAGACTGAGATGTAGCTTAAAGATTAAGAAGTCACAGGCCAGAGCGGTCAACTCCCCATGGGTTGGCATTGGCTAGGTAGCTAATGAGTGACTAGAGCCCTTTAATACCTCTACTTTTATCCTTTAGCCTTTGTCCATTTCTCTACATTAAGTCATTTGGTAAAAGGTAGAGAAAAGGAGTTGGAACTACCATCACAACAAAAATCTCATTTGGCAAGAATGAAAACAATTTTTGCACTCTTTGTTCTTCGTTGCTGTAGATCACTAGGCATGTTTGGATGTACTTCCTTCTGCCTTGACAGGTATTACGAATTTCTTAAACTATTAGACTTTGCTCTTAAAATCTACCTCATTTAGTGAAGTTTTAAATATAGCTTCCAACACCATTTGCAGAAGGCATTCTACCAAAAAATGCTAAAAGGGGGAAAATTGTTTTGTTATTGTTGTTAGGTGGTGCCAAGTTCACTGTGACTTCTAGCAACCCTATGAACAATAATCAACTTGAACCCTACCCTGTCCTGTACTATCGTTACCATCTCTGATATGCTTGAGCCCAGTCATTGTGTCAGTCCACCTTGTGGAGGGTCTTCCTCCCTTTTTCCAACTCTCCACATTTCCCAGTATGATGTCTTTTTTCAAGGACTAGTCACTCCTGATAACAAGCCCAAAGTAAATGAGATGAGCTATCAGGAGATAGTTCTCAAAACCTTCCTTTACTTTTTGCCATCTTTTAAAAACTGGCCTATTTCTAAACTCTCTAGAGAGCTTTCTCTGAGCTTCTCTTTTTACATCAAGTGTGGGCTGCACTCACTTGCTTCAGGATCAGGACCAGGGCTTTGATGCTCCTCTGTACAACTCTGACTTTCTCCTTGTCTCCTTCAAAGTTGTCTTCCACATAATCCAGGTATATTTGAAACTCCAGAAGACCAGTGACGACTCTTGTCAGGCAGGTCTCCTAAGAGGGAAGACAGTGGAAAAAAATGGTTATTGCTATTTCTTTGGGAAGGACATCATGCTTGAAAAGGTGAGGGCATGGTGAAAGAGAAGAAGACCTTCAGCCAGGTGGACTGACACATGACTGCAGCAATGGGCTTGAGTGTGTCAGAGATTGTGAGGCTGGCACAGGAGAGGACAGGGTTCAGATCTGTTGGCCATAGGGTCACTATGAGTCATACCCAATGCAATGGTACCTAACAACAACAACAACAAGGTATAAAAATTTAACAAGATGAAAAAGGGTTTAATTTAGCTACTTTTTCTCTTTCCCCTCCAAGGAAAGTTGGTGCCTTTTTGCATCATGTTTTGGGATGTCAGACATCAGCTGCCCTTCTTTACATATCTAGACAATCAGGTGTACCATGTAAACAATTTCACTGGAAGCCTAAGAGATGTTAGAATGTGGCAATGGGGAACTTCTCTAATTCTTCCCTTGATGACTGTCCCTCTGACATTCCTTTTTCCCTTGCCAGTGTTGGGCCGAGACCTGTTTTTATGAACTCTCAGAAATCAGAGCAGGTTATCTCACTGTTAGGAATAAGAAGGGTAGATGGAGCATGAGCTCATCAGAGAGGTGAGCCTATCTTTTTGGCCTTGCATGCATCTATATGTATGGGCACTGCGTGCCAGCGGGAGAGCTTTGGCCTGAGCCAAGAACTAAAGTGTCACTGTGTAAGTTCATACCCAATTGCATTCAGAAGAGAAGCATCCATCATTCGTCCTTATCTTTGGAAGGTTCATGTTGTTTCCTGCCAGTGCCTCACTAATGCTTTCGCACTTGTCAAATTTTTCACACACCTGAAAAGGAAAGTCACAATCTTTATCATATGATCCAAACTCAGTGCTGTCGAGTCAGTTCTGACCGTAGCAACCTTATAGGAGAGGGTAGAACTGTCCCATAGCATTTTAAAGACTATGAATCTTTAAACAAACAGACTACCACATCTTTCTCCTGAGAAACAGCTGGTGAGCTTGAACCACCGACCTTTGGGTCATCAATGGAGCACTTTAACCACTGTGCTGCCAGGGTTCCTCTTTATCATATTTAAGACAAAACAAAATACACCACTGCCGTTGAGTAGATTCCAACTCACGGCCACCCGCCAGTAGGTTTCCACAGGTGTAACTCTATGGGAAGAAATGCCCACTTTTCTCCCTGGAAGAAACTGGTGGATTTGAACTGCCCACCTTACCATTAGCAGCACCAGATAAATAGCACATCACTAGAGCTCCTTTCTTTATAAGTGCCTTTAAAGCAAGCACCACTAGAGGGCCAGGTGATGTTCTGTCATAGGCAGGAAGTTCTTTAAGAATGTGATACATCTATTAACATTCTAGCAAGCAAAGCAGAGGACAAATGGGGACATCTGCTTCCATCTGGCTGCATTTCTTATTTGCCCTGAGTCTAAGTTTCCTTAGCTCCACATTAGGGCTAATTAAGTATTGTCCATATAAATTTTTTGGGAGGAAAGACAAATTAATGCAAAATACATGGCGCTTAATAGTAGTTTGTGAGTGATAATTTTGATGATAATGTGACGACTATAATTTGAGCCATAGAAGGTTCCAGCAGGAAGGACCTGTGAGCTTGTGAGATCAGCTCATCCAAATGGTAATTTTTACCGGCAGGACCCAGAAATTCCACCAAGATGGCAAAGCTGGGTTTAGTAGTGTGGGAACTAGAACCTGACTTCCAGTCCTCTCTGTTCTTTCCTTGCTATCAAGCCAGCACATGCCAGACACCTTGCATTGAAAGATTGAGGACTCCTGGAGTAACCAGAACTCAAAGAGAATGCAGGATTATTGTGGAAAGTGTATCTAATGTCACCACACACTTTGTATAGAAATTGCCAAGTGAGAAGCTAATTTCCTGTGTAAAGTTGCACCACAACCAGTAAAGTATTATCTTTTTAAAAAAGAATTCCTGCTCTGCCCTGCTTGGGGCACTTTCATCTTTGTGGCATACATCTTAGCTTAGGTACGTTTCAGTAGTCTGACCACTGAGTTTGTCTCACTGAAAGTTCCTGCGGCTGCCCCGGTAAGTTGAACATTTGTTTCAGATGGTATTGGTCTAATCCTCTCAAAGTCCAAATAAGAAGGCTGACACATCTTATTTTTAGTTAGAAGGGAATCCTGAGAAGCAACGTCCCTCAGCTCATAACAAGTGTTCTGGGAATGGGCCTGGGGCCATGGACTCCAGTTTCATTTTCTGTTTTCCAGAAAGTATAGCAACTTCCAAGACCAGGAGCAGAGAAGAAATACATAATGAGGTTGTCGCTCCACTTTGACCTCAAATCTTTGAGCTCAGCAAAAGCCTCTTGCCTTCTACCACCCTTTTCCACATCCAGACACAAGAAGAATGAATGAATGTTCCATACTAGAACTTTCTTACCACCAGAGTCAAGTCTACTCACCTCCTTTTTCAGAGCAGAGATCTGCTCAATGATGAACTTCATGAGTTCTATAGTGTTGTCTGAAATGGTGACCGGTGGTGTGTTGGAGGTGGCATCATCTTTGGAATCTTCTCCCGCAGGAGTCCGGCAAGGGAAAGCAGAAGCCATGACCAGCAGCAACCCCAGGGAGAAGGCAACTGGACCGAAGGCGCCTGTGCAGGAAGGAAGCAAGGACAGAGTGAGGGGTGAGCTGCTTGCACAGCTGAGAGAGCTTGACTGCTGGCTGGCAGCCAGCCGTGCTGTATGCTCCCTCCCTCCCACAGCACTGGGCAGCCACAGCCAATCTCTGGGCTTGGGACTTCCTTCACTTACTTGTGGAGAGAGAGTTCATGGTTGGGCTCCTGGAGGGCAGTTGGAGGTCCCTTTTGTTCCTGGTGGGCTCAGGGCAGAATGAACCTCAGACATCTCCAGTCTCCTATTTATTGAGCCTTGAGATTCTAATATTGAGACTCATGGGAAAATCCCACATTTGACAAATCTTTGTTGGGGGGTAGGTGTGGGGCCAGGGTGGGTGGAGCTGATTGGAAACCTTATTAAGATTGTGCAATGTGACGTTCTTTAGCATCATGACCAGGGAAGGGAGGAAAGAGCTGCTGAGGTCATCACTGAGGCCAGCCCTAAAAGTAAAATCACTCTTCCTTTACTTTCTTCTTTTTTTTTTAAGTGACTCAGCATTTCAGTCTCTCTTGAGAAAGTAAAGCTTAAGTCATGCTTGAAGTTTAAAAAGCTAAATTGACTATGCTTTAAAAACACACACACACACACACACACACACACACACACACTCAAACAAACTTCAATTATCAGATTAGCAGAGTAGGATATAGTATTCCGGCTGGTTTGTGTCTGAAAACACCTAAGATGTTCTGACTTGAGTTTCCTCAGCCTGGGGTAACAAACAAAGTAATTGCCACAAGTCATCTACTGTACTTTCCTTTCCTGGCTGTTACTGTCAACTGTTGCGGAACAGCCCGCCACCCCCAGATTGCAGTTCTTTCTAGGAGTCTCCAGATGGAGCATTCAGTTCATTCTTGAATGCTTGCTTTTTCGCATCCACTTGATACCTGCCAGTTTCCTCCTGACCTGCTTCAGCCCACTTGATTAAAGTTCCTCACTGCCCTTCTCTTTCCCTACCCCCTGGCCCCTAAGAGCTCTCCCCTGAAGACTTTGATCTCTTCACCAAAGATGTGGCCTTGGGCTCTGGTACTGTTAACAGCTCCACCTGGGTGTTTCCCCCACTGGCAATTCTGTCACCCTTCTGTGTTCCTCCTGGGGAGTTCCAAAGTGCCTGGTGGATGAGACGTGGTTGGGGTTGAAGTGGGAAGAACATCACTTACCTCTTTAATAGGGACATCAAGTAGAGGCTATGGCATCTTCTGGATCTTGTGCTCACAGCTCCCTTTCCCTATGTACAAGTTGAGTCCCAAGGTGGCTAGGATGAGATCTACTGGGTAGATCTACAGGGTAACTAGGCTGTGAATCATTTCTCCCCTCCAGTACTTCCTATTGGCTCAAACTTGTCCAGACTTAATGCTCTTGAATGATGCTTCCTGCCCGTGGGACTTTGTTCTCATGCAAATGGACTCTGGCCTAGTCTGCCCCAGCAACCTCTCAGATACCTAGACAGCTCTGGGGATTGCCTCCAGCCCCAAATGAAAACTCTTGACTGCTACCATCTTAGACATTTAGCTTGCAAAGGAGATCTCTTCAGATTGCTACAACAATGACCCCGCTAGTTAATTTACACAGGAATCAATTCAGTGACATTTGTTTTTCTTATGGCATTTTAGGACTTACATGTTGGAAGTGAGGCCACCCATTCTCCTACTGACCACATTTTTCTTTATTTTTCACACTTGACAATGAATGTGTCAATAAAAAACAACCCAGAGAAAGAAATAAAAAAAATAGAGAAACAGTAGCCCTGTGGCCATAGCTGGACTTTTAGTTTGAAAATGAAAAAGGCAGAGGATTGCGGGATGGTTTTGTTTTTAGTGCTCTTTCCTCTTGAGCAACTCACATAGTCTCAGGCAGAGTTCTCACTCTTGTATTGAATAGTGTCACTCCTCCCAGCAACCTGGTTTTAGGCCCCTGGGGCATGGAATTGCTTTTTCTCAAATTCTTACACAGAATGACTGGGTTGATCTTCCCAACTGCAAGGGCTTTTTGATGGCAAGTAAGTATGCAGGATTAAAAACAGAACATCAGGGTCTACAGGGAGGGATCTCTCCTTTCTCAGCTTCCTAGCCCCCAGAAGTAGCACCTAAGTAGAAGTATTTTCAACAAAGTTCTCTGCGGCTTTCTCAATTGCTTTTCTCCCAAAGAAATGAAGGTCAGTTTTTTGTTGAAAATACCTTATGATAGAGCATGGAAAATAGGGAAAAAAAATCCCCATTCCTTATTTCCCCCCCTTTTTGAGATCTCTGAAGAGGAAGCTCGGGTGGCATGGTGGCAAGAAGCTGCACTGCAATCCAGAAGGCACACAGTTTGAGGCCACTAGCTGCTCTGTCGGAGAAGGATGGGTAATCTCCTCCAGCACAATTAACTGCCGGAGGGTCAGCTATGGGGTGGTTCCAACTCTGTAGTACAACAACAAGATCCCTGAACCAGAATTTTCCATTTAGATGGCTAACCCAAATTGTGTCTTGTTTCTAGAACATCCTAAGGCCTTCTGCTAACTCAGTGTGTCCATGCCAACCTTCTCTATACCCGGCCATTGTCATTCTTCAAATTTCTGACAGTAACTTTTAGGGCCAGGCGGCTGGCTTACCTTTGACCTTGTGTCTGGCAGGCAGGAGAGGTTGTATGTTTATGCGTTGAGCTGGTGGATCTTGGAGGTGATGGTGTGTCTGCCTGGGCTTTTCTTTTTTAAGTATCAATACCTTGGGAATCCTGAAAGTCCACTATGACTTTTTCCCATTTGCAGAGCTCTTTCCTCAGACTTCACATCTGTTGTTGCCTTGTGTACTGTGGGGTCCCAACTGACTCGCAACTGACCTTTCACAGGTTTTCAGAGGCACTCAAACACGTGGGACATTATCCATACCCTTAGAGTAGCTGGTGGATTTGAACTAATGACCAGGAAAGACTTTGTGGCTAGCTTTCATGAACTAATAATGATTACACTATCACTGATTAGAAGTAACTGCCCCCTGAGACCAAGTGGGACAGAAAATGGGGGAATATGGGGAGCAAGGAAACAAAATCAGTATTTTTCCAGTGTAACTTTCTCTAGGGCTGACAAGTGGTGTTGCCAGAGAGCATTGGCGTCCTAGTGGTAAGAAGCTGTGCAGCAACCCTCAAAGGCCTGCAGTTCAAATCTACTAGCTGTTCTGTGGGAGGAAGATGGGAATCTCCTCCCCTGCAATTTATTGCCTGTGAAAACCACTTGGAGGATCCGCTATGCATTGGTTCCAACTCAGCAACATACAACAACAACAACAGTAGAGTTACCAGGGGCTCCGGTGGCCTTGTGGTAAGGAGCTGTGCTGGGCAACCTCCCCCTCGGGCAACTTACTGCCTCTCAAAACCTACTGAGTTCTGACTCACGGTGCATAACAACAACAGTAGTGCTGCCTGTGACTGTTTTCCTGCAAGGTAAGGAAGCGCTGGGGGTGTAATCAGTGGCGAGTTGCCCTGCTAACTCAAAGGCTGGGCATCTCCACTTGTTTGAACGTCCGATCTCCTCTTGTAGCCATTTACAGCTTCATTTACAAAGGAACCTAATAGAGGGTTGCTGTCTATGAGGTGGAACTGACTTGATAGCAGTGAGTTTGAGTTTTTATTAATGCATTTAGTGTAAAGGGTAAAACTTAACTTTCCTTTATGATTTAAATTCCTAGGAGGAAAGATGTTCTCCGCATCTCACAAATGAAGGTGTGTATTACAGGGACTGGGGATGGGTGGGGTCTGTGAGTTAACAGGAGAAACACCAAGGGGGAAAAAGAGAAGTCACTATGTACTAAGGAACTTGCAGTTGCTGTCAGAGTATAGTTTCATTTGTCACATGTCATAAAGAGTTTGCAAACCGAAACAGCGGGATGATTCAATAGCTCCTTCTGGGACCAAATCCCACTGTGCAGACATCATGCATGCAAATTTTTAGGAAAATGTCCCTACACTGAGAAAAAGACTGGTGTTCCTTGGAAAGAGACTGTTAGGGACATTTGGCTTCTCTATTGCAAAGGATCAGCTGATCTCATAGAGCAGTTAGGTTTGGAGACCAAAGCTCTTGGCCAATTCCTAGTTCCCCGTCAGTATCTCAGCCCTGATGTCTTCACTGGTGACATCTTGGTCTGGTCTCAACATTTCTGAGAGGTTGGATGTTCTGGGATTGGGCCCAATTCCTCCAAGAACAGGGAGGGGGCACACCTTATTGTGTTTCTCCTTCAAGACAATGTGGGGAGGGCATTTGTTCCAATATGTGCTCAGTTACCTTCCCTTGTTGAAGTGGAAAATCCCAGACATTTTAGGAGGGAAGTGGCCTCTCCTGGGACAACACTGTAGACTCCCCTTGTCTTGGGACCCTCCCTCTTAGTCCCCATCATGTCTCTGGCCAATAGAGTGCCAAGATCTCAAGTTGTTAGTAAGCCTGCTGCTCTGAAACTCATTTGTTGACAAATGACCTTTTGGTTCCTTAGAGAACTCACCGGGCCTCCCTCCTCCCAGCTGGGAAGGGCTGGAGGTTGAGTTTGGGAGTTCGGTATTGTTTCCATTCACAAGGCAGGCCTTCTTTGTTGGTTCTTCTTTACAACTAAGAAACTTCAACTTGACTAGAAGCAATGAGTTTGTTGTTCTCATGAGAGTCCTTTGAACCATTTTTGTTTTCTCCAAAGGTCTCAGTTCTCTGGTTTACTGTCAGAGACAGAAACAAGCAGGCAAATGCATTGGTTGGTTCCTCCACCCTTCCCCTCAAAATTAAGGTACAAAAACCCATTTAAAAGCATCACATGCAATGGCAAGACCAGGGGATTCTGCTGGCCTGGTTATGACGTGAATATATTTTATCTCCCTTCCTCTGCCCTTTTGACCAATTTTTTTTTTAAAGAAAAAAAAAGCAGTGCCTTAATTCTCTGGGCACAATCTCAGATGCATTCTCCTTAGGAAGCTGAATCCAGGAAGGGAGGGAATGATTTCCATGAACTCTGCAATTCAGAGTTATTCAAGCATATTATTCCTAAAGAAGGGCCCATCTTAATTGATTTAAAAGGTTTTACAGATGAATTCAGATCCAGGTAAGAAGATCATCTCTCTTACATACCCCAACTTTATTCCCCCACTTTACTTTTTACCCCCTTCTCAGGATCAAGTGGTTTATTCAAACTATTGAAT